TGAACTGGAAGTGGAGCAGCAATACTGTTACCCAACATAGGATGCCAATGTCATAGGCATTATATGTCAGACCAAAAGACCCTATTTCAATGACTATATTACACATCATCTTTAGAAAGTAAAGACTACATGTGTGTGTATATATATACATACATACATACATAAACATATATACACATACATACAAAATCACACCTAAAGATTTGATCATTCCTTCACATTAAATACCATAAACATCAATTTACAGTTAGTTTCTTCAGACTGGGAGCTAACTAAAATTTATGCACATTTTTTGCATTTGGTAGATATGTCTCTTTTCATCTCTCCTCTTACTTCTCATTACTTTTTTCTTTCTTAAAAGATTCTATTTTTTACTGGAAAGTCAGATCAATACAGCAAAGAGGAGAGACAAAGATCTTCTGTCCTCTGGTCCTCCTTGAGTGGCCACAAAAGCCAGAGTTGAACCAATCTGAAGCCAGAAGCCAGGAGCTTCCTCTGGGTCTCTGACATGGGCGCAGGGTCCCAAGGCCTCAGGTCATCTCTCCACTGCCTTCTCAGATCACAAGCAGGGAGCTGGATGGGAGTGGAACAGCTAGGATATAGACCGGCACCTATTTCGGATCCTGACAGATCCAAGGTGAGGATTTCGCCATTAGGCTATTGCCTTGGGCCCTTGTTATTTATTTATTTATTAAGAAAAATGGTTATTTGTTAAGATATGCAATGTTTTACTTATATGTGTCTTGTTATTATAATGTAAATATTATACAATCAGAGATTTTACTCTCTCTTATCAGCCCCTAGACCAGTGCCTGGTATGTAAAAGATACCCAAAATACTTTCTAAATGAATATTTGAAATTCATGTCCAAAGCCCAGTGCCCATCCACTAAGCAGAAACTGCAGTCCCAGCACTCCTGCCTGCTAAGCTGAATCAGATCTCTGTTTTCTCAACAAAGCACTCTAAATAGTCACGACCAAGCAATCACATTGGGTGCCCAGGGTGAAAAATCCAGTCAGTTTCCCTTGCTATAGCCTCCTTCAAAAGTGTATTTCTATCTCTGAAGTAGAATGCACCTTATATGCTGAAGCTTAGCCCAATAAATTACTGACTGCTTTTTTTTTTAAAGTGTGTTTAAATATCTCAGTTTATTTTAGGCAGCTTAGGGGGGAAAAAAAATCTGCAGCCAAAAAAGATTAAAGAAACTACATAAGATGGTGGGAAACTGGGAATACTACATATTTTTAGAATGAGCAACATCCCAAGAGGTCCATTACAAAGTAAAAATCAGAACAAATGTTTGTGAAAAGTAATTTACATGTGCATTGGATTAATTAATTTAAAAAGTACATGAACGGTCAAGATTTAAATGGGGGATGATGACAAAAGTCAGGATTTCCCCATTTAGAGGCATCACCAACACAGTCTGCTTCTCTATAAAGAGTGTTCCTTGGTATAAAAGTGCTTTGGGGTAACACAAGAATATTGTGTAAAACCTCATTTCTCTGAAAAGGAGCTATCATGGCAAATGCGACTGTAAAACATGTTGTACAACATTCTGAAAAACAATCAGGCTTCTTAGAATCATTTTCAATGCATTGCTCTTACATTAAACCAGTAAAGCCCCTTTTCCTTATTTCTGAAAGTAGCTATATTAATTGAAAGGCTCCAATCAGTTATTTGTTTCATTAATTTGTTCTATTAAGAAAAGAAATCAGAAAATCCCCGATCACTACAAATTAATTCAACAACAAAAATCCCTCAGGATCTACTAAATGGAATATGTTAGGCAACTGTTTTAAAAATCTGAAGGAAAAAAACAGAAGTAATCTATTCAAGATAACATGGAAAAAGCTACTGGCCGAACTTGGGAGTCTATCCAGATCTTTCAGTGAGCAGTATTTTGTTTTGCAGGTCCCACACGTTAGTTTGAGGAAATTTTTCCATGGCCGAGGTAAAAAATTAAAAGAAAACAACAATTAATTCCACCACTACTCCAAGTGTAGAAAAAAAACAAAACCCACACACAACCCTAACAACTCAATTCCCTTGAAAGAATGGCCTCTATTTACTTTTCCTATGTAACACTCTTAGAAGAAATCTGGAAAAGATTACTAGAAATTCATGAGTAAAGCGCTAAGTAGAATTCACTGTTTAAGGATTAGACTTTAGAATTTAGAATTTTGTCCATTATATTTATGCTGCCAGGAATCTTTTAATATTAGACTCCGTAAAAACATCTTCATCAGGTCTCCTTTACTCTGCTGACTCTCTTCCTTTTCTCCAATGGTTCTTAAATCTACTTTATTCTGCTCAGTTAAAAAATACAGTAAATAAAACTTTCAGAGTAACATGATTTTTTTCAAAGAATCTCAAGCACCTGAGTGTCAATATGTCAATATGTTACCATTATGTTCAGTGGAAATATGTATAATAAAATGATCTGCATAAGTCTTTCTCTTCAGGAAGTACTAGGATAGATCTGTCCTGGTATACCATGGTAAAATGTACCCGGATATGTTAGAAAGACAGCTTTCAATCCTGAGATTTTGCTTTAAACTTATCAGCCACAGCAGCTGCTGTCTGAAAACCCCAGCAGTTCCCAAGGTAGAACTTCTACAGTCCTCATCGCCTGACCCACTGGCTAACCACAATAAAGCACATTCAGAACCACTAGCATACAACTGACATTGTGACACCTGGAAGGAAGTAGAAATCAAGCCAGATGGAACCCACCTTAAGTCTCCCCTCAGTTGTTTTTTTTTTTTTCAGAGTCCCAAACAAATTAAGAGACCTGCTAAGGCAGAAAATGCTAACTTCTGTTTGAGCACTCAATAAATGGAATGAAAACACTGTCACCAGTCCTCTTAGAGTACAAACCCCTGTGGGTGAATCTGGCTTATAAATACTCTAGGAAAAGTGAAGCAGAATCAACTGTAAAGTCACCAAATGCCGATTTTAAGGAAGGCATAGCTACTATCAAAAGTGGCAGACACAAATTTCCAACTGCTTTTTTGTTGTTGTTGTTCAATTCAATAAACATTGGTACTTTTCTACCATGCTAACAAAACTTAGGTGGTCATTTCCGCACTTAAAATCTGTACCATTATTAAATTAGGCACTATAACCACTTGGCTACATGCAAGTTTCCACACACCTAATTGTTCTATCTCCCAAGAGTTTGTTTTTAAACTCAATATCTCTTTCAACAAATTACAGACAAGCAACATTTAGAGGCTTGGGGAGAAAACATAGCAAATGCTTCACTTTCATTTTCTGATATAAGCACCAGAATGCAAAAACCTGTGAGAAACTATACAATGCAAAACTAAATTCAAGAGAATCTGGGATAAGTGCAAGTCTACTGTGTTAGAATTCTGATCATTATTTACTTCAGGAAAGAACCAGCAGCAATGATGCTTCATTTAAAATTGTGGTTCCTTCCAGTTTGGTATCAAGTATAAAAACTGTCCCCAGCATTATTTATTTTACTACAAAAGTTGTTGGTGTGAATAAAACAAAACGACTATACATACTGTAATTGTACAATCAGGACAATGTTCTTAGAAATGCAAATGTGATCACTCTGAGAAAACATTTTCTGCCAACTATACAGAAAACATCATAAACAGAAAGAAAATTGCAGACACTGAACCCTTCCCACAATTCAAAAATTTAAATTCACTCTTTCATGCAAACTGAACAATAAAAACATTTCTGTTACAAGAGTAATACAGATTTGCTGTCGGGGAAAAAAAAAAAAAGACAACGCCATTTTTGAAACAAAAGACCACCTGCTATGAAAACAAAATAACATTTGGCTGAGCAAGGAAAAGTAAACAGCCTTTGAACCAAGACAAATAGGTGACCTTCTCACAAACTCAAAAGATTCCAATCTTAGCACAACCTGCACCCTACGGATAAGGTGCCGAATAACATTTGTTGATAAATGCGGATGACTAACGGTGGGAAGACTGGTGCTGCTTTTAGGATGCGGGCTCATTCCTCGTGTGCAGCGAGTAAAATCTGTTACACGCACCTTTTTAAAAACTCGCTCCCTTTTCCCATCAGTGCTCTCCCGGTCAGTAAGAGACAGGTATGCATAAAAATAAAAGTAGATGGAAAGGCGAGTGTGTGATCTGCAAGTATTTTCCCTACTCAGAATATTTCCCATTAGCCTTTTTGAGGTTTTAAGATTCAGTGTTTAAGAAGAATTATTGTTTGAACTACCCCACAATTACTCTTACTTCTTTGAGACTTCAGCTAACCTGTAAGTAAAAGGTGCATCTTTAACTTTTCCATGGGGCACTGGAGGAAGAGTTATTACTCATAAATGCTTTCAGATCCTCAGACACCAGGCGCGGCCGATCAAGCACATCCATCAATTAGAGACCTTGCCCGGACCTCAGTGTACCCACTTTCAGAAACGGGCGTATCAACTCGCTTCGCAAGGGCCCCGGAGGTGAAATTAATTAGTGTTTTTAAAATGCCCAGAGATCCAGAGATGAAAGGAAGACGTGAGAGACACGCAGAGATGATGACAATCATCGCAACAATAAAAAGAATGACTAACTTGGAAGTCTGCGTTATGTAAGAAAGCCAAAGAAGTTATCACATTCGGCACAAACAAAAGAGAAGCCCACCGCCCCCTTTGTTTCTCTTTCCTTTTCCATCTCCCTCCTCGCCCCCCGCCGGGGTCCCCGCCGGCTGCGGGTCAGCGAGGCCGGCCCGGTGCCGGGCGCCCAGGCGGTGGTGGGGGAGGGCGCGCCCGGCCGCTCCTGACAAAGGCGCTTCCTCCCGCGAGGGCGCGGGATGGAGGCGCCGCAAACTCCGCTCCCCGCCGCCTCCCCGCGCGGCGCGGGGGCGCGCAGGCGGGCGGGCAGAGCCGGCGCTGGCGGCCCGGAGCAGCCGCCGAGGAAGTTGCGCGCCCGCCTTCCCCGCACCCCTCACCGGCCCGCTGCGATCCCTCCCCGCGACACCCCGCGGCCACACACACTCACCGGACAATCGCTGGTGGCCAGAATGCCAGCACGGCTCCCCGGACCCGCAGCGAGGGGGGGGGATGAAGTGAGTGTGCGCGGGGGTTTGGGGGGCAGGCGGGGGGGACGAGCGAGCAGACAACCCGGCGTGCCGCCGCCGCCTGCCTCGCCAGGCAGCAGCCAAGCTCGCTGAAGGGGAAGTTGGCCCAGGCGCCCGGCGCTGAGGAGACGCGGACGGAGGGCGAGGCGAGGGGCCCGCTTTGTGCTGCGTTCCCGGAGGGCTCGCGACAGATCTGCTCGCGCCGCACCGCTGGAGCTGCTACTGGTGGAGGCGGCGGCAGCGGCGCCCCCCGACGGTCCCTCCGCCTCACACTGCCTCTGGGTCACTGACATACACTCGGAGGGAGGGAGGGGACTAGGAGGGGGCGGGGCCTGAGGGAAGGGCCGGGGGCCGGGCCACGACGGCGGGAGGCGGCGACGCGGCGCGCCGGGAGGGCTCTTGGGAATTGTAGTTCTTTTTTTCTGAGGAAAAAAGGGGGCGCATTGTTGTGGAGAACTAGGGCCGGCCTCTCTCTGCAATGCGCATGCTCTCGGGGAGATTGGGGTGGTGGCGGTGAGGAGGAAGCACCGTTACCATGGTCACGAATGCACTAGGCGAGCGTGTGTAGTGCTGCTGTTGACTAAACAAGGCTCATCTTGTATTTTGGTGCTGTTGGTGCTCCGGCCCTCTGCCAGTCCTTCCTACTCCGCTCCACCTTCAAGTCGGAGCCTCGCTACTCCCAAGTGTCCGGTAACATTTGACTTCCTCCTGGTCTTTTATTAATCTTTCCCGTTGCTCAGTTTTCTTCCACAAATCCTTACTCACCGACATCGTTTTCTTTTGATGCTTTTTAAGGGCATCCTGTCTCTAGTTCAAATTTCTATGCATAAGATATAGAAATGATTATAAAACTGTTAGGAACTGTAGTTGTTCAGTTAGTCACATCGAGTGTTGTAAGAGTAGCAGAGGGTGACGTTCAGGATTAACATCACTGTGTTTTACTGCGTCACTGTACAGTAATCCAGATGTGTTCATCTTAAAGCCTACAATTTTTAAGGCATACAACTTTTCAAAGTCCCCGTGAGTTCAAAAGAAGTAGAAAGTTGAAGGTTGTTCATCCCATACACGCAGTGGCCAACTTTCATTTGGCTAGCAGAGTAGTCTGGAGTATGTGGTCGGGCTGGTCAGCTGAGCCGACACCCACATGGAACACCCAGGCATGCATGGGCGGAGGTGGGGAGGGTGGAGAAAGGCCGTTTTGTTGGCTGTCCGGAGGGCTAAAGACAACCTGCCCTGAGCCCTCCTGTTTGCCTTCTAGAAGCTTACAGCCTAGAGACAAGATGCTTGGGCATCAGACATCCATTTCCGGCTTGTTTTCTAAGAGAAACTCGAGCTCTGAACTCTTTGTGTTTGCAGACTCCATAAGGATTCCCGCATTGAGGAAACACTTAACTGAGTGCCCACTGTGTGCCAAGCACTTTATTCGATCCCAAAAGTAGAGATATAAGAACAGAAAAGAAAGATTCCTGTTTTCAAAGTGCTTGTTGTGCCTTAGAGGAAGCGAGTGAACGGACTCCATGTGCTAAAGGCTACCGTAGGAGAGGTGCGTGCTATTGTACGCCTTGGGGAGGTGAGGAAAGGCTTCAAAGAATATTTGAACTCAATGAAGACCGGGGCTAGTGTGTTTTATGTATTTTGATGGGGAAGAAAAAGAAACACCTGGTGAGGGCACTGAGCAGGGAGATGGGGAGGGCAGCCAAGTACAAAGCATGAGACAAAATAGTATTTTAGCTCAGCCAATAGTTGGGCATAAAGTAAGGGAAGGGGGTGGCAGAGGGAGACATGACGAAGGCAAGAGCGTTTAGATCATAGAAAATTGTGTCCCATATGCTAAGGAACACAGACCTTCCTGAAAGCAATGGAAAACCACATCAGGATTTTAAGCAAATGAATTGTTGATGAGATTTGCACAAGCAAAAGAGAAACAAAGCAACTGCAACAGCAAAAAAACCACATTAGGTGTGTAAATTTTAATGTTAATGTGTAAAACCTATGTTAATGGTACGGAGAGAGTGGAAATTTGATCCAATTATGGTGTTTAGGAGTGTATACAGAGTAGAAACTTCTTAGGTAACTGAGAGCGGGTGCTTGGAAGATTTCTCTCAAGAGCATAGGTTCTAGAAGCTTCAGTCAGTGATGGAGCAAGGAACCTTCAGTCCATTTTGGCCTCTCAACTGGGTGACTGCAGGCATGCTCTCAGTTTTCCCGTGTTCTCCTTAGAATGCCTCAGGCCTGCTCTACCTCAACCAGCCCTGCCCTGCCTGGACCTCTGGACACAACACTGTCCTGGGAATCCAGCCATTATCCTCAACTCTCCCACCCTCCCAAGCCACCCCAGAGTCTCCCTGCTCTCCAGCCGCCCAGCCTTTGCTCGGGGCCTGCCCAGTGGCTTTGTGTTGGCTCAGCCACGTGTGAGGGAAGGTGCTCTGCACTGCATGTTCACTGGTGACTGTGTGGTGTGTTCCCCAGGAGTGCACTCCTGCGGGCTCATTCTCTGAATAAACCTGGTCTGCCTTTGAGTTCACGGGCATTCTCCTCTGGGTTTATAGTCATCACACTCCCCACTTCCTGGCCCACCATGTTATTGCTCTCTGCACACTGCCACTGCCTTTTTCGGGTCTCACCAGATGGACAGACCAGTGGTGTCCACTCAGACAGATCTACAGATCTCCAAAACCGTAAGCCAGAGCAAGCCTCCTTCTTTCCTAAGTAGCTTGTCTTAGTGATCTCACTTTTGTAATGAAAAGATAATACAATATGCATTTTATTTTTAAAAGGCTTACTTATATTTTTTAAAGATTGGTTTTATTTTTATTGGAAAGGCAGATATACAAAAAGGAGGAGAGACAGAGAGGAAGATGTTCTGTCTGTTGATTTACTCCCCAAGGGACCACAACAGCCAGAGCTGTGCTGATCTGAAGTCAGGGGCCAGTATCTTTCTCCTGGTCTCCCAAGCACGTGCAGGGTCCCAAGGCTTTGGGCCGTCCTCAACTGCTTTCCCAGGCCACAAGCAGGGAGCTGGATGGGAAGAGGAACCACCGAGATTAGAACTGGCACTTTTATGGGATCCTGACATGTTCAAGGCAAGGGCTTTAGCCACTAGGCCACTGCACCGGGCCCAGTTTACTTACTTATACCATACTTAATTGAAACACAGAGAGCCAGGGGCAGAAACAGAGAAAGCTTTCATTTGCTGTTTTATTTCCTGAATGCCTACAGCGGCTGGAGCTAGGCCAGGCTGTAGCTGAGAAGCAGGACCTCCATCCAGGGTCTCACATTTGGGCAGAAGGGACCTCAGTACTTGAGCCATTGCTTGCTGCCAGTTCATTAACAGGAAGCTGGAATTCAGAACAGAAGTAGAACTTGAACCCAGACATTCATGTATGGGATGCAGGCATCCAAAACAACATCTTTTAAAAAAAGACACATTTTCTTATTTGAGAGAGTTACAGAGATAACTTTAACCCACTGGTTAAACCCACTTCCCCAAATAGGTACAAGGGCTGGGTAATGCCAGGCTGAAGTCAGAAGCCTGGAACTCCATCTAGGTCTCCTGCATGGATAGTAAAGACCCAAGGAATTGGGTCATCTTGTGTTACTTTCCCAAGGTACATTAGCAGTGAGCAGGGATTAGAGATAAAGTCATTATCTGAACTGCCATTTGCCTGGGATACTGGCTTCATAGGCAACAGCTTAACCCACTGTTCCAAAATGATTCCTCCTACACCAAAAGCATCTTAACCATTGTACAAAACATTTATCCCATAAAGCAATTTGGAAAGACCACTGTGTCAAGTATGGCTTTTTTGGTTAGAAAAAGCAAAAAGCTCACTGACTGGCTTAACCAATAAAGGAGATTTATTGATCCATTTAGCCAGGAAGTTCAGGAAAAAGACAAGCTACAGGGATGATTAATTCAGCAGCTCAATGATATCATTAAGGACATATGTCTTTCTTGTTTTCATTACTTTTCTTTCATGCTATTAACTTCACAATCAGTTGAGGGTTGCCCAAAATTCCTGTGGCTGTTAGTTTCACCATCAAGGTACAAAAAACGGTAAGAAGAAATAGTCACTTCGGAAGCTCTGTGGAAAAGGGAAGAAAATATTTTCCTGGAAACCTCAATGATGAGGAGTTATAGATATTCCTATGAAAATTGAGGTGGTCACCCTGGAAAAAGACTAGAGGCTGGAAAAGGAGTCACAGTATCTGTTACAAACAGGGATCCAAGAATGGCTCTCAGATTTTTGCTAGTTTGTAATTGTGAGCTAGTGATGTCCTTCACTGATTTAGTCATATAGGAGATATACCAGCTTCTAAAGGGGAATTGATTAGTCTTCCTTCTTTAAGAAAGTTATTTATTTTAATTGGAAAGTCAGATGTACAGAGAAAAGGAGGAGATACAGAGAGGAAGAGCTTCCATCTGCTGGTTCACTCCCCAAGATGATGCAACAGCTGGAGCTGAGCTGATACAAAGCTAGGAACTTCCTCTGGGTCTTCCACATGGGTTCAGAGTATCAAGACTTTGGGCCTTCCTTGACTGCTTTCCCAGGAAGCTGGATAGGAAGTGGAGCAGCTGGGATATGAACTGGTGCTCAAATGGGATCCTGGCGCATGCAAGGTGAGGACTTTAGCTACCAGGCTACTGTGCAGGCCTAGTTAGTTCTTTTTGAGAGTGTAGAGTTTGAGATGAATCTGGGACAGCAAGGTAAACAGCAGAGTGGGCAACTGCATGTATGACTCTTTCGGTTTCAGGGGGAAATTGGAGCAGGGGAAGATATCATTGGAATATACTGCCATGTGAATGTTGAAATCATTGAGGGGCTGGTGCAGTGGCTTCCCAGGCTAATCCTCTGCAGTGCTGGCATCCCATATAGATGCTGGTTCTATTCCCAGCTACTCCATTTCCTGATCTAGCTCCCTGCTAATAAAAATAGTAGAGAATAGTTGAAGGCCTTGGGCCCTTGCACCCACATGGGTGACCGGAAGAATCTCCTGCCTACTGGCTTCTGACTGGCCCAAATCTGATTGTGTGACCATTTAGGGAGTTATCCAGAGTATGGAAAATTGATATCTCTGTCTCCCACCTCTGTAATTCTGATTTTCAAGTTAATAAATAAATCTTTTAAAAAGAGAGAAAGTATTGAAATGGATGAGATCACCAAGGGAGGGTATACACAAAAGAACAGGAGTCATCAGTAATAACACCCTAGAGGACAGCAAAACTCAAGAAGTAAGGAGCAAGATCATGACAGGGCCTTCGGAAGCAGCAAGAGAACTGGGACATACCAAG